AGTCAGACCTCTTGATGCATCCCCTTCCCAGGGTATCCAGCTTTATGTTCTTAATTGATGTGAAAGTCACCTTGTAGGGTTGGGCTCCTATGGCCAGGCAGTCTGACCTTGCTTTAGGAATACAGAACTGCAGGCAACAAAATGGAGGCTGGATAGGCCGTTTAAGATTAGACCCACAGGCTGCTGCTTCTCATAAGCAGTAATTCTAATAAATCTGCCTTTTTTGTTCTCCACTGTCTCTGGTGAATTCTTTCGCTGTTGCCACTGTGCCTCTGTGCTACCTCAAGGCTTCCGTACAACATATAGCTGTAGTTTGCTGTAGCTGCCCTTGGCCCTCTGGCACTATGGAGCCACCACAGGGTTGGCCCTGAAGCAGGGTTGTCATATGAACTCCTTAAGCCAACTGTCTCTCTTTTGAAACATGTTTGAAAGGCCCCGCAAGGACAGTGCCCAGGAGGACAGGTCACTGTCTCAGTTTGTCACCTGCATGCATTGTTGCAGGACCTTACTAGTCAGGTTCAGGGAACAACCCAATGGGGTTTGCTTAACAGACCTGGGAAACAAGCTGGTTAGTTCAGCCGAGAGTCCCGTGTTCCGAAGTCCCAAACATAATAAGTTTACTTGCCCAAAGAGGCACCAGCTTGCCAGTAAGGGCACAAAGCCTGTGGCAAAGCTTGTGGCGGGCCCAAGTTGCCCTGCTGAGATGGTGCCCAGCAGCTGGGAGTGTAACTGGGTGGTCCCTAGGAGAAGGGAAGTTCCAGGTTCCCTGCCCCACCCAGAAGGAGGGTGGAACTGAGCAGAGAAAAAGGAGAGAGAAGAAGAGAGAAGGGGGCAGATGGAGGAGGAGACCTGAGGAAGCCACATGGAGCAGCAAGCATGTGATGAAGAAACCATGCTTGTTCCCTGACCCTGGACTGGTTAAGGCAGATGTGGGTGAGATACCCGTAGGGAGGTGACTATGGCAGTGTTTATATTGATTTTGATTTTGCTCTTTTCCTCTCAGATTTGTCTGGCCATTTCTGACCCTTTTCCATGGGTCCTATCCAGAAGGTGCTTTAGTCTTGTGGCAGGCTTTCAGGCCTTGCTTTGGGCCTGACTTTTGGGTTGACTTTTGCCCACGAGGGGATGGGTAACTTCAGGTGTTTGATTTAGAAGTTATATTCTTTGTGTTCCATATTGTATATTCACTGTATTAAAGTCACTTTTCATTAAAGCTTTATATATTTTGTCTTGTTGCGGCGGATGACAGAACCCACTTAGAGCAGGCAGGTTTTGGGGCTTCAGGGGTGCCTCTCTCTGAATTGAGGTGCCCTATAACAGGAGCACTGGCTGACGGGCTGGATGAACATCACGGAATGCTGGGAAAACAGCAAAGGCAGCTGCACCAAAAGGTGGTGCTGTAAGACCTCGTAAGCAGCTTTGAGATACCTCGGGTGCATTTGGGGTCTTCCCAGGTGCTTGCAGAGACAAGAGGAAGGCAGGCCCAGCCTAAGGTTCCTGCAAGACTGTTCACCTTCTCTTTGGAGGCCAGCTGCCGGGAGCTTTTTTCAACACAGATGCAAGGAATCTAGGCTGGGTGTCAGTGTCTTGGGGTAGATCCGGGGATCCCTCTGAAGTTGCCTTATATTCCTTTTTCAGAGTCACCCCTCCCTGGTTGACATCTCCTGACTGGACCATTCCACTTGGCCAGCGCTTGCCCAAGGGCTGAAACACCTACATGCAGTAGTTTTTGGCACAAGCAGGCGAGAACTGACATTTTTTCCCCCAACAAATGCCATTCTCCAGGCAGGTGGCTGCAAAACATCAGCCTGCAGGGCTGGGTCACAGCCCCATGCTGCCTGCTCTCCCACTGTCTTGCTCTGCAGTTCAGGCCCCTCTCCTGGCTCCTGCAAACAAAGCACCCACAGGACTTAGTGTCTCTTTTCTGGTTTCCTATGTCACCTTGATGGGGGCACAGAGTAGAAAAAATTCAGATGGTAAGGTCTCCCAAGGACTACCACCACCAGAGCTGGGGATAGGGACAATTAATGAATCTTAAGCCAGCAATGAAGTTTCCAGGAATCTGAGGTGGGGTCAGAAAGGAATATCAGCCAACAGTGGAGGCAGATAGGATTATCAACCACAGATGTCCAACCCAACCTGACTCCATGGCAATGAGTCCCAAATTTCATGAAAGAACACTTAAAAAACCCCCTTTGCTCTGGCCCAAAACAGCTCCTGTGTCTCCTGCATCTATGCAAGCGTCCCTCTTTCTATTATTTTTCCTCAATAAAGTTTCCCAAGTGCTGACAAATGGGAACATCTGCTGAATTCTTTCTCAGAAGGACCCAAGAACCCCAACAACCTCAGATGGCCACCCTCACACTCCCTTATTCTGAACATTTATAAAATATACTCCATACATAATCCTGTGGAAGGGACCCACCTGGGATATTTAGCCAAGGGGTGTTTATAGCTCTAACAGGCGAGGTCTTTGATAGGCAGTCCATTCTTCCAGGCCCAACGCCACAGCACGGGCTTTGCAAGCAGCAACTCCATGACCAGGGAGTTACTCCAAGGCTGTGAAGAAGGAACTGAGAACCCACAGTCCACTCAGTGTCTCCCTGGGTCTCTTCCACCTCCAGCCTTTGTCTCTTCCCTTCTCCACCTTCTCCAAGCAGAGGGTTGAAAAGGCTGCAGGGAAAATGACTTGGGGCAAATGGCCTGTCCCTTGGCTCCTCCTGTTCAGCCTTGAAGGTCACCCCTCAGGGTGAGAGTATAACAGGGTGGACCCCAGGAAAAGGAGAAGTTCCAGGTTCCCTGCCCCATTCAGAAGGAGGGTGGAGCTGAGCAGAGAGGAGAGGGATCTGAAGAAGGAAGAAGGATGGAGAGCCAGGAGACCTGAGGAAGCCACAGGGAGCAGGGAGCATGTGAAGAAACTATTCCTGTTTCTTGGCCCTGTGCTGGTTGAACATGTGGGTGAGAGACCCACGGGGAGGTTGATTTTGCTCTTTTCCTCCCAGACTTGTCTGGCCATTTCTGATCCTTTTCTATGGGTCCCGGACAGAAGGTGCTTTAGTCCTGTGGCTGGCTTTTAGGCCTTGCTTTGGGCCAATCCCTTTTGGGTTGACTTTTACCCATGCGAGGATGGGTCACTTCAGGTGTTTGATTTAGAAATTACATTCTTTGTCTTCTGTGTTGTATATTCACTGTATTAAAGTTCCTTTTCATTAAAGTCTTACATGTTTTGTCTTGATGTGGCAGATGGCAGAACCTATTTAAAGTAGGCAGGTTTGGGGGTTCAGGGGGGCCCCTCTCTCCCTGCCCTTCATAAGAGGACATGGGACAAATGGGAAAAAGCATTGAGAGCCAGAAGTCCCTGAGATGCATTCGTTACTGTGCTCCCACTTGCCTGCTCCTGTCCTGGGTGAGGCTCACATGATTTATTGCAGAAGTGACCTGATACTTTCTAGTGATGGAGGGTAGGAATAGAAAAACTGGAAAGGAGGCGCCACAGATTAGAAACTTGCCTCACAAAGCCAGGAGCCTTGTGAGAAGGGATCAACAGCCATTAACCCAGCTATAGGAAGAGAGACCCTCAGGCTCCAAAGCTCAGATCAGAGCACAAGACCCAAGCAGGTGTCAGGCTGCTGTAGGTGGTATCAGGCCACAGGCCTGAAAGTGAAGATAAGGAGATTGAGCGCCTTTGTAGTAATCTAACCTCTTTAAGATTAGTTTATTCAAACTCCATGAAGACTTGAACCCCTCCCAAAAGAGTTCATCTGTGCAGTCTCCATAGAGACAGGGCAGCCGTCCCCTCCCCGCCTGCCTTTGCCCTAGGCTTATCTACACTGACCCCCCTCAGCAGAGGCAGCTCTCCTCAAAGCCACCCACCCTTGACCATGCAGGCTTCCTAGCAAGCCTGACCTCTGGGGCAGCCCTTTCTGCCTTCCTGTGTCTGACTCTGCTCTCCCTTTTGTAACAAACCTGCCCTTTTGAATATAACTAATGCCTCTGTGCTGTGGGGCAACTCACCCCTGCTGGTGGAAACCTCTCTCAAGGTGAACTCCAAGGACCCCACGCTGAACCCAGCAACTCCAAAAACAACATCCTCTAGGTGGGGTTCTTTCATGAGAGGTAGAAGCAGAATTAGACATTTACTTAGGAAAGGTTTCTACTGCTATTGAATATTTTATCCTTTTGGGATTAGCGCATTAACAATACAGTCAACTAGCAATGACAAAAATTTCTGGTAAAAACTTTATTTACTATTTATAAATACATTGTAAGACAAAACTTTTCAAAAATACCTTTTTTTATCTCAAAAACTTAATTAAAAAAATAAAGAGAAGTTAATAGGTAGGCAGAATGTTTTCAGACCCCTTTGCAATCTCAAGGAGGGCTGTGTGCAGGGTGTGTCCAGGGCTGGGGGCCCCCCGGGGCTGCTCCCCACCTACCAGGTCAGATGGGAGGCCTGCCCTCCCTCAGTGGTGTATTTACATTCTCTAGTATTTACATTCTCTAGTATGGATAACATCTCCTCTAGGATTAGCTAGTACAGGTCCTATCCTATTTGAACTAAGATGTCTACAATGTTAACAGTTCATGAAGAACGTGTTTTCTCTGTGTATATGTGTGAATTAGATAGAAAAGTGGGAGGATGACCAAGTGCAACAAGCAGGTGACTCTGCTCCTTGTGCCCTCCTGGAGCCTCCAACAAGCCATTTATCTTTCCTGGTTAGGTCAAGTTAACATTATTGTTTACATTGTGCCAAGGAGGACAAAGGTTGAGGTGAAAACAAACTTTGCCTTTAAAGAGTTGATCTCAACAATTAATTTTGTCTTGAACTCTTAAGCTGGAAAACACTTTCAGCAGCTTTCCAAAGAATCATGCTGTTATTCTTAATGCCTCTGAACAGGAAGGGCTCAGTCAGCACCCCTGCTCCTGCCCCCCTACCCAATGGAGCCACCTTCAAAGACAATTACTGGGTGTGTCTTCACCAACATTCTTGGTCTCTCTCTTTTTTTTTAATAAGTAAGGCTCCACCTTATTTTCTACACCAGTTCCAGACAGTACAGGCCACTTGAAGGTATGACACATTTTCTAGGTTGAAGGAGCCTTGCTCCAGAGATGTAAGCTCCGGGTGGGGCTGTGGGTGTGCAACCCGCAGAATGCAGGATGTTTCTGCTCTTGGTGAGGTCCTTTGTTCGTTCGTACAGAGTGGGGAGGAAGGCGCCCTCAGCATCAGCAACACAGGCGCGCAGTCAGGACATACTGGCCAGTGCTTCAGCGGAGACGCAGGGAGAGCCGGCTCTAGGGTGCTGTGGATCTGCTCCCCTGTCCTTGAGTTGACAAATATTTTTACAGGAAGCAACAAGAAAAAACAAACTGTGTTTCACTGACTACTAGAAGGCAGTAAGATACGCAAGTTCACCATTTAGAAGAACCCTGGGCATTTTTCAAACATCTTTCTAAACTTTGGTTTAAAAAAAAAAAAGAAAATGAATTCACCACAAAAAAGAAATATAAGTTGAGGTTGTAGTCAGCTGCTGGTCATGTCCTTGGCAGTGGCTTGTGCAAAATAAGGCGTATTGAGCTCCACATTAACTAAAAGAAAAAGGAAAAGAGGCACGTTGAAATAACCCCACTAAACCCAAGGGCCCAGTTCCTACCTACTCCAGGTTGGGTCCGGTCCGGCAGGACACCAGACACCTGGGGGTGGGCGGGGCTTATCCTGCAGCTTCCTCAAGACCTTGGTGCCCGACCTCAAGCCAGTGGTTGAGGCTAGAGTGCTGTCTCTATCTTGTAAAGAAAACTTGTCAGGCAAAGTCAACTTTTCTTCTTTGAAATTTGTCATGAAAAAAAATGTACATTCACTCTCTTTCCAGTAAATCTCAATTAGTGAAAACAAAAAGAATATTGATATTGACTATGATAGCACTCTTCAAAATGGCTTAAATCTTCATTTTCATATTAGGTCTAATTAACTTCCATTAAGATCATATTAATCAGACTGTGAAAATATCCATAATACATTTCATGAAAAAAAAAAAAAAGGCAGTCACAACTTTATTTAGAAATCTTCCTTTATCAATTCTTTTGGATGAAAACTGTTTACCTGTGACCATAAAGGAACTGACAGACTTACAGGGAAAAAGCTTAACTTTGAAAATCTCCACCCTGCACATACACAGCACTTTTTATGTCTGAAGCTCTTTCCCTGTTCTTGTTGAGCTGGGTGGCCGGCCACCCTGTGCCCTCCTCCTGCTGCCACCAGGCAGTGCAGCTCCTGGCTCATGAGCCAGGCTGTCCTCGTAACCCTCCCCCCACCCTGCGCCCCCCAGGGTGCGCAACCCTCTGTGCTCCCCAGTGCTTACATGGCTGCAGTGGCTTCTACTTGCTCTCCAGGTGGTAGCACTGCACGTCGCCCTTGCCTTTGGCATCGTAGCCCGGGAGGGGCTGCCCGTACTTATCCACACACCAGCAGAAGCCCCGCTTCCTGCCTTTGGAAGGGCGGCACTGTGGGCAGAGCACAGAAGACCCACCTGAGCCTCTGTGGAGGGTGCACGAGGCACCGGACCACGGCAGAGCAGACTGTGGGGCTCCCGGGTGTGTTCAGATCAGCCCCGCTATGCCCAACAGGCACAAGTGATTTTGTGTGAGAGCTGTTCAGAAAAGCAGGGGGCAGTTTTATGTCCCTGGGATCTTGGGGAAACACTAGACCCTGTTGTGCCATTGGCATGATCCCTAATGAGTGGGGGAATGAAAACACCCCCAGATGACCCCAAGAACATCATAGCTGTGTCTTTCTGCAAACAACCCAAGCTATACATGTAGTTCCTTCTCAGAGGGAGTTTGCTAAGTGGGTGATACACATGTGTGAATCGATGGCTGTTCTGGTGAATAATGACTGGTAGACAATGTCAAGGGACAAGTGAGAGGCCAGAGACCCATAGTCACTGACAACGACCACCTGACTTGAGTGTGGCCATCCTTATTCCATGACTAATTCTGCAGACTATATTGTGGTAGGAACTGCTGAGCTGGAAAGTTGACCGAAATATCACCCTCACATAATAGGTAATGTACTGAAGTGCACTTGTTATATTTTATAATAACTACTTCTCAAATGTGTTTGACCACTTACTATTCACAGAAGGCCTCGATGTAAGAGGGGTCAGCATGAGATCTGGGTTTTCTGTACTGTTTCTGGGAAATTCTCTAGAGTGGCTCTAATCACACCATGATGCAATGCCAGCCAATTGTCCCTCTGCATAACAGAAGGCTTCCCAGAAGGTACCTCATGTACCTGAGGGGGGTGGGGGTGGGGGGGGGTGGGGAATGCAGAGAGTTGAAGGGCAGTGAGTGGGAGGGGATTTAGGGGAATTTCCTGCCACTGAGATAGATGAGGGGCCAGGGCTGGGTCAGAAAGTGGGTATAGGGTGTACATTACCTAGGCAACTCAGCTCACCTGCTTCTTCTTGTAGAAGCCCTTCTTGTCACAGTTGGGGATGTGGACACCCCTTGGGCTGAGCATGTTCAGGAATTTGAGGTGGTTCAGCATGTCCTCCATCTCTCGGCGGCAAGGACCCTGGGGGAGGAGCCACAGTCAACACTGGAACTCTACTGTCTTATCAAACCCCATTTGCCCACAGAGCCATCACAGGTGGGCCTGGCATGTGTCCTGAAGAAACTTCTGCCTTAGTTTTTTGATTCAGTTGTTGCCCTTCCCTTGGGGAATGCCAATTATGCCTCCTTATCTGTCTCACAATCCTTTCAGAGCAAAGCCCAGAACAAGAAACAGTCACAGTAGGCCAGGCCACTCAGAGGTCAGTGAATAAAATGCCAGTTTTATGAACACATTTTTCTGAATCATAGCAGCGCTTCAAGCACACTAAGTGCATTTACAAGTGTTGACCTTGACCCTGGACACTCCTGAGATCTGACAGGGAGAAGGGTAAACAGCCTTTCTAAAAAGAGTGGGTCTGTGGTGTGGCTGTCTACCTGGGGGGGGGGGGGCCACCTGGATTACTGATAGGCTCCTGAGTAAAGAGCAACCCCGATACTCAGTGCCTAGGCCTGATGAGTGCCTTGCCCTACCGCCCATTATAAGAGGACAAGTTCTCACGTATTCTGTCTCTCGTTTGGACTCAGAGGAGAAGTTCTGGGTGTCCGTGCTTTGAGCTTCATAGTCGACTTTGTAGCGCTGACTGTCCTTGGCGTGTCCTTTCCTGATGACGTCTATTTTGGTGTGGTGGGGATGGAATTTGGAATCAGGCACCCGGTGTGTGCTAGGAAGGGCCTGGGTCTCCACGCTTCCAGCACCCCGGTCTTCCTCAGACTCACTGCTGTTTCCTTGAAAAGCACAAGGGAGACAAAGATGTGATCGTCATTGATCTTTAATTATGATCTTAAAAATCTTCCTACTGTAACCAAGTCACGCATAAGTGGAAATTTAAGTTTACAAACACATAAAGTATTATTCTATAATACCAGTGGCATGTGAATGGTAGTTTTTCACTTCAAGATTTAAAAAATGAAATCTACTGCTTTTACAAAGCAGATGTGTTCCCTCTTCTACCAGCAGGGGGCAGATGAGAGCCAGGGAAGGCTGGGCGGTGGAAGTCCCTCAGGGTTACCCCAATGCCTACCTTCCACAGGGAGGACTATTCTGACAGGACATTCTCCCCACCATTCCAGCCCCGCTGAAACATAAATGTTGAGGGTACAGCAGCAATCCGGGTGTCCACAGTTCTGCAGGGTTTCTGAAGGCAGCACTGTCCTAAATGCTATCCTGCAAAGGCCTCTGAGGCACCCCTACTGGTTTGAATGGTGAAACGGAATTCCCTGCAAAGCAGCTTTGCAGTCTGTGCAGGCATTGTGTGGTTTGTTTTAGAAAGCCGGTCATCATATCTCTTTACACACACTGTTCATGCAGGGATGGAACATTCTGGTGTACTTTTGTTCATCATTGCACACTGTGCATTCTGGGGTACTTTCTTGGGTGAATCTTTCCTAACCCTCTAGGACTGGAGTGAGGGATGCAGACAGCATCAAAGCTTACACTGCTTTTTATCAAAGAGCTTGCACTCCTTCAAGAAAAGGTCACCTCCCTTTCTAATTGACCCTTCAATGTAATCAAACATGCTAATGACGAATGCCTGAGATTTGAGAATGTTGGAATCTTCACAATCTCAGTATAAATTCAAGTATAATGACTAAATAAATGTGGTTGATGGGTAGCTAGGAAATTCTTTTTCCAGGATGATCTTGGGCTGCTGTGGTAGAAAAGGAATGGAGGGTCCCTCCTCTGTGCTGCTGCTGAGCAGCCAGGAAACTGCCCCAAGATTCCTTGGTTCCCAAGGCAGCACCTGGTGCTTCACTCCAGGAGACACTGCCTCCCCATCTGGTTCTGAGTGGTCGGCTATGTCTTGGTGCCAAGTGCCTTGCTCCAGCTGAACTGTTTTCTGCCCTCTGAGAAACACACCTACAAGATGGCAGCATGCCCACCAGCCTGGAAGTCAGCCAAGGCTTCTGGCTCCGGGCTAAAATGTGCAAAGCCTAGCTCTGAGAATGGCCCCAGACAGCTGATGGGGGTGGGGGATGGCTTTGTCTGCAGGCGATCAGCTCTCTCTGGAAACAGCCAGGGCTGGATGCATGGACTTTGGGTTGGGGGTTGGTTAGAGAAGGGAGGAAGCCCTTCCCTTCTCTGGGTCTCCATTTTCTCACCCACTACACATTCCCGGGAGAACTTGCAAAGTTCCCATGGGGTGTAAGCCTGGGGAAGTAAGCACAAATTCTAGAGTGTTGCTCACTTCCTGATAATATATATTCTTAAATTGATAAGGTTTGGTTCTAATTTCCTTTAACTTTAGACATTTTTTTTTCCTGGGGGGCAATGGTACAAAAGAGATGCTAACAGTATGTAAATAAAATATTTGCATTTCCTTGCCAAGAGCTGAGTACTTTCTTAAACTTCCTTAGTTACTTTAAATGCCTGATGACTCCAGCAAGGAGAGAAAACATTTTCATTTAAGCAACAATTACTTTTGACTATCATTTAAATTTGTCCTCCTTTTCCACCCCACCCCCCATTTTAGAAGTCATCTAGGTCTTTTACAGTAAATTACATCAACCAATACTAAATGTAGGAATTACTATAGTAGCAATGCCCAGGAAGGTCTAATTAAAAATGACAGTTTACAAAAACTTCCAAGATTATTTTTTGGATTAAAAAAAAAAAAGGCTGGGACAACAAAGCACATACAGCAAACACAAAAGTTTGCACGGTGAATTTTAAGTGTATACCTTAGGCAACTGGAATTTTGTCTCTCCACCAATAATTCTAGATGGTGTTTCTCTAGGACAGAGACAGCCCCACCTAGCGAGGAACTAAGAGAGTGAACTCGTAAAATGCTGCTTTCCCCCTGGTAGCCCAGATGGCGGCTGCCCCCAGGGCTCTTTCCCGCGAGCGGTTGGGGACTGGAGTAGAATTCACCTAACCTTCAGCTCTACAGGAACTTCACTCTCATAAGGAGGCAGGCTAAGCACACGTGATTCAGAACAACTGCAACTCCATTTGATTACTTTTCCAAGAGAACAATATGATATCTTTTACAGAGAGGGTGTCTGATAGTGATGGAGCCCTGGAGTAACTCTGCCAAACTTTAGTTTTTGTCCTCCTTCAGCTGCACAGCATTCCTCCTAGTTCAGATGCAGATGGCAAAGTGTTCTAGATGGGGCTAACATCTCTTCGCAGTCAATGAAATTCGTAGATCCACACATTCCGCAACGCACACACACCTGGTCTGGTTTGAGCGCCCCACAAGCACGATGTATATACAAGGGTGGATGCAGAAAGTACCGATGGGACTCAATCCTACTCCCCTCCCTACCCACGGGGGAATTGGAAAAGTCACTTTTTGAAGTTAAGGTTTTCCAACTGCACAAGACACCAAAACCCGCCTCCCAGCTCACTCGACTTACAACACCCCCAGAATGTGACATTGCTTTGCAAACTGTAAATACTGGTATATATAAAGCATTTCCTACAAAGCGATAGTCCACCCTTCCCGTTCCAAACTCAGCCCCTGGTGCCTCTGTAACACCCCTAAGCATCCTGGGGATTGAAACGCCAGCTCCCAGTTCTCGGGGCAAAGGGCACGCTCCACCGTTAGGTCGCACAGTCCACGCCCCCGCTCCTTGCCGCTCTGGCCTTTCGTACCCGAGAATCTCGTCTGCCCAGGACCTTTCAACTGGCTTTAATCTTGGTATCCTCTCCCATCCCCGGCCCCGGAAAATCTTTGACTCATTTTCGCTACCAGAACTTTGTAATGTACAAGCAATCGGAACTCAGCGAACTCAGCGAGTAGAGAGGACAGGCTGCAAACGCGCCCCCGCCTTTCCTGACGTCCATTTCCCCAAGCACAACTCTTAGCGTGGAGAAAGCAAAGTGGCGCTGCTGCCCCGCTCCCGCCCAGACTCGTGGGCTAGAGTGGCCTGCCCCCCAGATGCCGCGGCGGCTCACCTGGAGCGGACGGCGCCGGCAGCAGGTAGGCGGGCAGGCGGTTGGCGGCGCTGGCGTTGGCGCAGATCCCCCGGCCGTCCAGCAGCGCCTGCAGCGGGCGCGGCTCGCCGGGCTGCGGCTGACAGCGGAGGCCGGCGCCGCAGCGCTCAGTGTAGACGCCACAGGGCTGGCCCTCGTTCAGCGCGCACGTCAGGCAGCAGCCGCAGCCCGGCTCGCGCACCAGCTCCGCACACGCGGACGCAGGCGGCGGCGGCGCACACTGAGCCAGCGCCCGCGCATCGCAGGGCTCACAGCGCACCACGGGGCCCACGCCCGCCGCTCCCGCGCCAGCCAGTGCCACATTCTGCCCGCGGAGCAACGACAGCACGGTCAGCGCCGCAGCCCAGAGCGCAATTCGCGCCCCTTGCATGGCGCCCTCCGCGGGGGGTCGCTGCTTGGCCGGCCGGGGCGCACTGGAACCGAGATAAGGTGCTCGGCGGAGGCTGCGAGACGGTCAGCGGCTAGACCTCAGCGCCGATTCGTCGCGTTTGCAACTGGATGTCCTGGGCCCGCCGGCTTGTATATAAAAGCCGCGGTAGCCGAAGACACGCCCCGGAACGCCGCGCCGGGGGGTGGGGGGAGGATGGGGGCGGGCGTCTGGCCCTGGGCGCCGGGTTGAGTGAGGGGGCGCGCAGCGCGCCGCCGCCCGGACACCTGCTTCCAGTGAGCGCGCGGAGCGTCTCTGCCACCGCAGTTCCTTGCAGTCTCGGTGACTCGGCCACCTCGGCGTGTCCGGACTCCAAGCCACCCTAGTGCCCTCGGCCACTCCTACGTTGCTACCCTGTGCACCCTAGAGTATTGTCAGTGAAACTGGTTTGCGCCGCTGCTCACCCAGGTGTACTTTGCAAAGTTTCCCCAAGTTTAAATAGTCGGGTAGGGGAAGTGGAAGCCCATTTGCGAAGGGTACCGACTCGAGGCGGGGTCTTGGGAGTCGAGGCACTCTGGGTTTTACCTGAACCCGAGGGCACAGTTCGTTCCTCACCTCCCAGGCCTTACAGATAGGCATCTGTAAGTGAGCGCGCGGCCTTGGCTCCTTCCCAGGGTCACTTTACTTTAAGTAAAGGCTCATACTCGCTGTGGCACAAGTTCCCAGTTAGCAAAGGACGAGTGGCGAGTGGATTCCTAGGAGAGAGTTTCTCAAACACTATGCATAAAAATGATTTGTTTTAGATATTCTCGCTAGCGATTTTAAATAGAATTTACATTCACCACAAAAGAATAATTATGATAATGATAATAATGTTAATGATAATAATAATAATGATGATAAACGGGCACTACTGGGTGTAAGTACTAGTCAGTCTTTAAAGTTGGCTGTTTCCACCATCATCTTTCCAGGTCCCTTTGTATCCTCGTACTGATCTCAGGGAATATCGTTCCTCTGAAACCTGCACCAGGGCGGGAGTCCCGAGGCAGCTACGCTGACTCCATTCAGCCTGCTGCGTGCGGGTCTTTCAAACTTGTCGGCGCGCCTTCCCTCGGTGACCGAGAGATGACGCTCGTGGTCCAAGATTGAACTAAGAATTACAGTTTTCTGGGCTCTTACTCTTTTTGTGGATCACCCGTGAAAACCAGCGAGACCACCGCGGGAGGGGACTTTCCCGGACGATGTTGAAATGGATCCTTGTTTCAGGAGGTGTCGTCTTTTGTAGTTTGTGGTAGAAACGGCAAGTGAGGACCCTCATGCATCCCCCCTTTTCCCTGCAGCCCCAGCCCAGATCTCTACAGCAGCCCTGGGCAGGTGCAGTGAGCATTCACCCACGTGTCGAGTTATCTTTTCTCTTTCTCTCTCTCTCCTCCCTCTCTTTTTCTGTGTGTGGATGTGTATGGGAGTATACGTCCATAACCCTAATATGTATACTCTTTTTACAACGGGAAGAATAATTTTCTCATAGAATAAATAATAAATAAAATAGTAACAATTCAACTTTTACAAAGGAAAAAGAGACCAGAGACAAACAGATGAGGATCCTGGCCTGCTCCATCTCCACAGAAGCACGAGGGTCTCGCATCCCCCGAGGTCCAGACTGACTAAGCTTGTCCTGTTTACCTCGAACTATGGAATGACTGCCTCGCTGGCTCTTTCCTTTCTCCTACCCCTTGTTGTAGTTATATGTTATCTGCGTTGCCAGCCAAGAACAGACTCTCCAATTTCATCGAGAAATTAAAGGAAACAAAACAAATCTGTTGGGGATACATTTGTTCCTTAAATAGTCATGGAGACCTTGACTCCGAAATCGAGCCGGGTCTTTTATCAAAAGATTCCTGAGGTGGCAGGTTTGCCTTTCTGTTTATACAATGTTACACAGGAGCCCTGGCTGATCCCCAGCATGGCATTGCTTACAGCGTTATCTCGGAGCAGTGGATCCCGAAGCCTAGACGAAGTCTGAGCCCTTTCTTCGTTCTCCTTTTCAGAGAGCACAGTGGATCCTTGCAGTTTGAGAAAAGGCAAATAACTCCCTAGGGGGCGACAAAGGGCCAGTCACCAGAAACCTTGGGTAAAGGAGAGGCTAGCTGCAACTCTTAAAAGATGCACCACAGAATTTTACTTAGACAGTTATCACCTATGTAGGAAATCTTGCAAGGGCAAAGGGAGAATTGTTTCAATGTTGTCATTTTTTATTTGACACTCCCCCCATGTAATTATTACAGGGAGGATTTGGATGAGATAAAAAAAATTTGTGACAGGCTAGTTTTGCAGACTTTCAATTAATCTCATACTTGTGGTCATTGATATGAGCTACAGTGGCTATTGGTAAATGTTTTTCCCCCCCCCCCCCGTTGAAGATATTTGGCATGTAATTGCTAATAATTTTAAAGAAGTGGATAGCCATTGGCATAACAAACAGTAGTTAAAATAACTATCTTCTTTTACTAACAAAATTTGGTTAGCCTCATTGTGGGAAGTGATTGCTATGGTTAGCTGTTGTTTTTCCCACATGACATATGCCACTCATTTCTTTGAGCTCATTGTCATAGCTGATAGGCAGCTTGTCACATGGCCACTCCAGGGTCTACCTCTGTAGGTAGCAATGTCCACCACAAGCAGCACACCCTTTCTGTCATATCCCAGAGTGATTGTCAGGCGTATCTACATAGTAAATTCTGGACTCAATGGTCTGGACTTCTGGCAAGTGATGCTGGGGACCAAATCAGACTTGGTGGCACACTGCCTAAAGCTTCAGCATTTCCCTGCTCTGGAAGCAGGGATGGGGAGAGGGAAACTTATTCCCATCTATTGGATCACCTGTGGAGAAGCTTCCCATTATCAATTTTGAGTTTGAGGATGCTTAGAACTTTGAAGCTGATAACAACAGCAATCCTTTATGTGGCAATTTCAGGGATTCTAAGACTTGCTGGGGAGACTAAGCAGAGACCAGACAGCATTGGGTAGGAAAATCAGTGTGCTTGAGATGCAGGGGAGGGTGGAAAACCCTGACTATGTGGTATCAAGTACCTTCAGAGAGGTGGTGGTGCTTCTGCCATATTTTGATGGGGTTGTTCACTTTATTTTGTTGAGTTTCATTAGCTCTTTGTATATCTTTGTGATTAGCCGTTTGTCATTAGTGTTGTGTGCAAAACTTTCTCCCAATCAGTGGGTGTCTCTTTGTTTTGTGTTGATGTCTCTTTTCCTGTACAGAGTTTTTTAATTTAATGTAGTCTCAAAAATAGATGACTGGATCAAGAAGATGTGGTACATATATACAATGGAATATTATTCAGCAGTCAAGAAGATAAATTTGTGCATTTTGCAGCAACGTGGATAGAGTTGGAAGGGATCATGCTTAGTGAAATAAATCAGAAAGATAAAGAAAAATACCAGATAGTTTCACTCATAGCAGGAGTGTAAATGATCAGAGAGAAAAAAAAAGCAATTGCAATAAAATAAAAGTGAAAAGCAATGAACAACGAAACCAGAGACATTCTACTGGGGTGGAGAGGGGAATGGGATGAAAACAGGTGGGAAGAGCGCACGGGACTATGGTGATGGCACATGGGTGAACTGGTGGTGGGAAGCCCAAGGGGATTACAACTGAGACGAAAAAAATGCATAAAATGAAGAATGATGCAAAAAAATTAAATAAAAAGTAAGAGAGATGATGGCATTTGAGTTGACCCTTAAAGGACTTGGAAGTGTCTTGTGAAGGAGGGAGGCAGGAAGGAAGAGTAAGTGTTTGTGAGAATCATGGCTCTGTATGCTTAGAGGGCCAGGGGGACCTAGAAAGGAGGGCATTAGCACTGGCATGTGTCTTTTGAGGAAGGTGGAAACCTGTGATTTAGTAGAGAACAGAGGATAACTTGATAAAATAGACCAGAAAGGTGGTATCAGAAAATTCAGAATCTGGAGCCAGTTTCTTCAGTTAGTGTTATTCATTCGGTTCCATGAACTGGAGATGGATGAAAGGCCCAGAGAATGAGTTTGGACATATTCTGCACAGAAGACACTGTGGAGGACAGGTTCTTTCCAGCGCAGAGATTCTTGTCCATGGCCTTTCTTTTCCACTGGTGTCTTTCACATGGGTGATGGGGGTTAAGAAAAGAAAGTTTAGGATGGAGGTGCCACAATACTAAACTCTGGAGATGAGGGTAGAAATAATGACATAGTTGTTAAGCCAGCTGTAGAAATGAAAAATCCTCAGCATCAGACTGCTGTGGTAAGTATCAGACAAGAGGTGGGCACATGCAGAGGGAGGACTTTGTAGAGAACCCTTGAACATCAGCCTAATTACACCCTAGATGTAATTTACAAATAGATAACAATTCCACAAAGAAACTAATCCCTCTCCAAAAGAACAACACTTCATCAGTTCGATTTCTGCACTAGAAATAAATGCAGCTCTCCCGCCTGTTTGTGTCAATGCAGGTGTCTCTTTTAGCACACCTGCTCCTTCCAGGGACAGCTCATTCTGCCTGTGTGTCTGTACGGACGTCCTTTCCTTCTTAATGTAATAAACTTGCCCTACTGGATATAACAAAAAGACTCTGCCTCGTGGGAAACACACTGTGTGCCCCTGAAAGGGGGAGCTCTGGCTTTCTCAGAGGTAACTCTAGGACCCATTTCTCTGAACCCAACATCCCTCTGAACTGATGTCATCAGCGCTTGCGCCCATGCCCATAATTTATAGGGCTGTTTCTTTGTCCAGCTCATTCACACAGAGGCCATTCTTGTCTTGGTTTCAGATCCAGCTTGTATTCAAACTTGAAACTAAAGAGATTTTAGCCTTTGATCGTAATAGGCTTGAGTGTGTGCCTGCCCGCTCCCTTATTCCCTTACTGGCTTTCTTATATTGAACAGGTCCCACACCGCCATTCCAGGGCCAGATAGGGGCACTGGAATGTACATCACAGCATCCATGGAAAAATGAGGCCTTGCAATGGTGTTGCTCAGCATATGGAAAGTCAGTGTTCACTCCTGCGTTCACAACTACCTGAACCAGTGTTGAAAGGAGAATTTATTCTCACATA